TACTCTGTCAGCCTTAGAATTTTCTGTAGCGCCCCTCTTTATACCTTCACAGTTATACCCCTACTGGAGTTCTTAACATTAACGTGTCTTGTTCTGTCATCTGACTGAACCCTGATGTGTTCGTTAGACATTTGTACTGTTTCTAGTTGGGGGCTGTTAGGAATACAGCTGCCGTGAGCCTTCTGGTCTCAGGGTGAACCAATTTTCATTTTTCCCTCCTAAACAGCAAAGAGTAGAATTGCTGGACCAAGAGATGTCAAAATATGTTTTCCAAAGTGGTTCTGCCTCTTTATATTTTATTTCCATCAAAAATGCTGCTTCATCCCTGCCTTAATGCTTGATATTGCCAGACTTTTAATTGCAGGCATTCAGCTCCCTGTCCATAATGGTCACGAGTAGCTTTTCACCTGCTTATTGCAATGTGTATCTTTTCTTTCGTGATGTCTCTTCAAGGTTTCTATCCATTTTACTTGGGTCACCTTACTGAGTTGTCAGTGTGAAGTGTGAATCCTAATGGTGTTTTTCAAAGAGAAGACTTTAATGTAGATGAAATCCAATTAAAGTTTTTATTTTAGGGTTAGTGTTTTGTATGTTCTAAGAAACCATTACTTTCCATAAGGTTGTGAAGATTTTTTCTTTTAGAAGCTTTAGATTTAGGTCTATCATCTATTTGAGTTTTTTTTTAAAGTTTTATTTATTTATGCATACAAGAGCTGGGGTGCAGGCCAAGATGTGGGGGGCAAGAGGATTCACCAGAGACAGAGTGGGGAGCAGAGTAGGCAGATCGACTGAAATATACTGCTGAGGGGAGCAGCTGGTGAAACAGGAGAGGTCTGCTGCACCCTGTGGGTCACCTCCCTGGCCAGGATCAGGGACCGAACTCCTGTTTCAGTGACTGTGGAGAGCTTCATAGTGCTGCATCTTTATTTACCCTTTGCATCACTGGGGAGGGCCCTGTTTTGAGTTAATTTTTATGGATATAATGTGAAGGGTCAAGGCTCATATTTTTCTGCTTAATGTCTAGTTGTCACAACATGGTTTATTGAAGTTTTCTTGAATTCCTTTAGCAGCTTTGCGAAAAGTTGGTTGCCTACATGTCTTCCTGTACTCTATTCTGTTCCATCAACCTGTACAACAGGTCCTAGAATGTTTCATTATGTCAAGAAAACAATCTCCCTTTATTGAACAAAATGACATTATTCAAGGGCCTGCTTTCATTTTATGTCCCCTCACTTAAAGTCAGAAGTTTTCAAGAACCTGTCAGTGACCTGCAGTGAGGATTCACCGTATGTCTAACCTCAAGCGCAGACCATGGGTTTATAGTAAGTCTTGTAATCAGGTAACATAATTCTTCCAATTTGGTTCTTCTTTTCTGAAATTGCTTCAGTGAGTCAAGGTCCTCATTTAAAAGTAAATTTTAGTATCAGCATGTCAATTTCTACAGATACTAAAATTTACTTTTAGATTTTTTTAAAGGTTTATTTATTTATTCATACAGAACTGGGGTACCGGCCAGAGATGCGGAGGGTAACAGGATTCACCAGGGACAGACTGGGGAGCAGAACAGACAGATCGAGGAAGTACACTGCTGAGAGGAGCAGCGGGCAGGTCAGGAGAGGTCTGCCACGCCATGTGGTCACCTCCGGGGCAGGCAGGGATCGAACTCATGTGGAAGTGGCTTAAGCTTCTTAGTGCAGTGCTTTAACCCGCTGCGCCACCAGGGAGGCCGCTGCTAAGATTTTTTTTAATAAAAAACTTGAAATTCTAATTATCATCTTTATAGTAAAAATATTTTATTTGATTAAAAAAATTCTGGTTAATTCTAGAACTGGAAATGAGTTTCCAAAATGTTAAAGGAATCCTGCTAAGATTTTTAACAGAAGGTCATCAAATCTGGAGATAAATTTGGGGGCAACTGGCCAATTAGCAATATCATGTCTTTTAATCCATCAAAGTGACATGACAAACTCTCCATCTGATTTAACTTTTCTTACACTGTAACTCTGATCACTTCTCCCTTTGAACAGTCAGAAACTTTAAAGACCTGTGTGATTAGATCATCCCAGATCATCCAGGAAAATCTCCTTTTCTCAAAATCTTTAGTTTAATCATAGCTACAAGCCCCCTTTTGCCATGTGAGTGAACATATTCAAGGCTCCGGGGATTAGGATGTGGGCATTATTCTTCTGAGCATCTGCCAGCAGTGTTTGAGTTCGCACCTGTGTGTCCATTTAATGGACCCATGTACCAATTTACTGGTTACAGAATCTGCATGTAGTTGGGCCAGATAATGTCAAGACGTCTGCACAGATTGTCTCCATGTCCCTGCCATCACTCGGCATTATCTAGTTTTACCATTTTTGACAGGCTGTATAATAAGTATAAAGTGACATATCATTGTTTTAACTTGCATTCCGAATATAATGACTACAACGCTATTTTCATACAGCTGTCTGCTTTTGGTGTTTGTCTGTTCACTTCCGCTGCCCACTTGTTCTTTGAAGTTGTTGTCTTTTTCTTGTTGATGTGCAGGACTTCCTTGTATATTCTAGCTGGTAATCCCTTGCCATTTTGGACATTGTTGATGACCATTCTGTAATCTGTTTATGAATTTTTGTCCATGATGTCATTCATTAAATAGACTTTACTTTTAATGTAATTATATTACACAGTTTGCAATGTGTAAACTGTGCGTTTGAAATATTAAAAGTTCCTTTTTGCTCCTAGTTCATAAAAATGTTCTCTTTTTTCATAACTTTACATTTAACTTTCAATCTGGGATCTATTAAACTATGTAGGGCTTATCTTTGCCTCTTGGCTTCCATGGTGATACTTTTTTTTTTTTTTTTAGTTTAGATAGTGAACTAGATATTTTAAACAATCCATTTCCCATTGTTTTAAAGTGCCCTCTTTGTCATACAGATATACATGTGTTAATCTTTGAGTTTTCGTTAAACAGTTGATTTAACCCTTTCGTGGACTTAACAGTATGTACACTAATAAGTTTCACAGAGTATATACCTCTTACCATACCAATTGAAACTTTTAGATTGTACTGAATTTATATATTAAGGGGGGGAGTTAATATATTTATATTAAATATTCTCATCCAGAAACAGGAATTGTCTCTTCACTTATTCTGGCCTACAAGTGTTTTACTAGAATTTGACCGTTCTCTCCATGGAAATTTTATATACTCTTAAATAATCCCTAATTTTAATCACTACAGTGGATAATATTTCATTTGTTTATTTGCTTTTACCTTTATATAAAAATATAGTTGATTTTTGTAAGGGATATTTCCTCTAGAAAACTTGTTGACTTCTCTTACTAATTTTAATTGTCTTTTACAAATTAGGTAGTCATTGAATTACCTGTAAATGATAGTTGTATCTCTTTTCTTTTGATCCCTATACTTTTTCCCTTTATGTCACTGTGCAAGATTTCTAGAACTATGTTAAATGGCAGCAATGGTAGTGGGTCTCTTTATATTGATCTTAAAGGGAGTGTATCCATAATGTTCTATTAACATAATACTTGCTGTAGGTTTTTTGGTATACGACTTTGACTTTTATCAAATTAAAAAGTTACCTATGATTTGCAAAGAGTTTTTAATTATGAATGGGTTAAATCTTATGACTTTTCTACATGAGGGTGGTGGTTTTACTTTAGTCAGTGTGTTGAGTTACAGTGATGAATCTTTCTAATAATGGGCCATACTTGCATTCCTGGAGTAACATCACTTGATTATGATGTATTATTTTTTAATATACAGTTGTATTTCATTGTTTGGATTTTGGATTTTTATAATTACTGGATTCAGTTTTCTTTGTATTTAGTCTAGAGTTGAGGTTACTTAAGGAAGACTGAGGCTCCTCAGTGCCTTTAGCCTCCACAAGAACATTCCAGGGACCGACTTACATACCACCATTGTCCTGTACTGGTTTGTGCTTATATTCCTTAATTTTACAAACAGAATGTTGCTATAGTTTTATGTGTACATTAACACAATTTTTACATCTTTTTGGGCACACTTTTCCTTTTCTCTAGGATCACTTACCTTAGTAACAGCAAACAATAATTACTACCTGCCAGACACTGTACTACTGTTCTGGACAGTTTGAACATATTACCTCATTTTAATCCCCTAGTAACCCTTGTATTCCTTCTGTCTGAAATAGATCCTGTAGAATTTCTTTCTTTAGACCTCAGTTCTTATTATCTGTCCCTTGTGCGGGGCAGGGTTTGCTGGCTGGAGTCACGAGACTGCGTGTGACCTCTCAGGGAGAACAGGAGAGGAAGAGGAAAAAAACAAGCCCTGAGGGAACACCAGACGCACATGTTGGTCTCGTGAGCCCACTCTCAGGAGATAGTAGACATGGAACTACAAGGCCAAGGGTCCATGCCAAGGCAGTGGAGGTCACCCTGGAGGGCTCCTGGGGTGGAGGGTGCCAGTTTCCTCCCAGAAAACGTGTGCCATGATTGCTGCACCCCTTCACAGAGGTCACGAAAACGTGAACACACCTTTGGTCCCTCCCTGAGCAGGGAGGGGAAGGGATGCACCAGTGGTCAATGAGTCTGTCAGACGTGCTGAAACAGTGAGCCTGTCCCAGCCATTGCCTGAGCAGAGCTGCTGGACAGACCCAAAAGCTTAGAAAGAAATGAACAGTGGTTGAAATCAGTAGCCTTAGCTCGTTCCATTCCCCTCTTTTGACTCTGGACATCCCCTGTGGAATCTGTGAATAGAAGGCTTTGAGGACCTGTAAGCAGAAACCGTGGGAGACAGCTGGGAGGCTGGCTGGGGCAGTCAGAGTCCAAGGCCCTACTGGAACAGAGTTCCCAGCAGGCGTCAGAGGCCCAGGTAAGAGCTTGCAGGCCTTTTTCTGAGGTATACCGTTTCTTCCTAACTTTCAGCCCAGGCATCCTCCTTTTAGTCACCTGGAACCCTGTTTTCTCTCTCCTAGAATTAATGAGCTATCTTCAGAAAGCAACGCATGAAACCATTTTCAAAATGACTTTAATCATTGTTTGCTGCCCAAATACTGTACATGCAGAAGCCATGTGAAGAATTTTCTCCCTAAGGGAATTGGCAAGAATTGTATGAAACAGCCGGCAGTCCTTCCCAGCTGTCCACCTGCCGCCCAGGAGCCACGAGAAGTTTGGAAAGATGCTGCACATAGAAAATGTATAGAGCACAGATATAAAAGGCTAATTGCTTCTTATCTAAACAGTGTGCTTGTCAGTCCCTGTCAGCTATCTCTTTCTTTGCAGGATGCATTTGGAAAGTCTAAAAAAGGGGCTCCTGCCTCCTGCGAATTTACATTCTAAAGGAGTCGATGGAACAATCAGGCCAAGTTTTCCTAAAGCAGCAGCCACTGCCTTCTGAGATGATGTCTTGTAGAAGACATTCTGGGGAGAGGAGTGGTTTTGTGAAAAGTAAAATACTTTGAAGGGAGATAAGTCCCCTTTCCTCCCATCAGAGAATATCGCCTTTAAAATTCTCAGATGCTCAACCCTCCCATGCATGTCATTCCAGAAGCAGAAATGAAGACGGACCCAGCCTCATCTGCTGGTGGGGACACTGACTTCCTCAGGATGCAGGTGAGATTGTGACTTCACATCAGCACCTTGAACACTGTCCACTGTAGACAACCCTTAATTATTTCTCATCATTATGCAAGAATAAAAGAGGGAGAATCAACCGTGAGGAGGTGAAAGCAGAGTATGTGAGGATTCCCAGAGTTCTTGTCAGAAGCAGCATCAGGGCATGGGCCGGACGAGGACCTGAACCCAGTGCAGGCACCCAAGGGTGGAAGAAACCAGCCCGTGGGCCAGGTGCCAAGTGCACCAGGTTCTCTATCCTCATCGGCTCCAGATCAGACTTTAAAAACCTGGAGGAACTAAGGAGCAACCAGCAAAAAGCTCTGATTTTGCAGATAAGGAAGCTCAGGCCCAGCCAATTGAAGAGTCTTGCGGAGGTCACAGTCTGGCAAAACTTCATAAAACAGCCTTTGATTCTCAGTAGCCAGCTGTCCAGGCCATTGGCCAATGGGGCAAATGCTCTGTGGCCCCTGGAATTCCCAGGGCCCATTCTGTTAGCCAAGCTCTCTGGACGCCTGTCCCAGGGACACTTTCTGGCCGCATTGGAAACACCTTGATGGGCACAAGGCCCCTGTCATTCACTGGCTGAGTTTCCAGCCAGAACCCTGGAGGTTTTCCTAAAGCACTAACACTCATGCCCTTCAGTGAGCTCTTGCCTCAAGCCAGTCTAGGCTGCTGAGGGAACGCAAGCTTCTCTCACTGGTATGGTTTCCCTCACAGGCACAGCCATTCTGGGCCCACAAAAGCCCATGCTCAGGGTTGGGGGGAGGGGGAGTTGCTTTGCTACATGGAAAGAATAAGCCCTTTGTCAGAGAACAAGGCCCCACCATGGGGCATACCAACACCTGAACCACACTCAGGCTCCAGGCAGAGCCGGTGCCCAAGGAGGCCGAGTCACTCTCTTTGGCATCGCTGACATTGCTCTGAGATGCTCAGGCATACGTTCAAAATTACCCTTTCCCAGCCAGTCCTGGCCAGTCCTGGCCAGTCCAGCCCCCATCAGGCCTCACCTGATTGGGCGGGGCTCCCCTGCCCTTCAGTCCTGGTGGTTTGGTTCAGTCCCAATCTTTGCTGGGAGAAAGCAGGGGACATTCCCATCTCCTTCCTGACCGCTCAGTGAAAGGTAATCCAGTATGGGAAGCAGCATTTTAAAGAATCTCTTCACGTGTCAGGATATTGGAGAGGAAACCGCTGAGGAGAGGGAAGGGCAAGGCAGGAATCAGCAGGGAAGAAGCCCTCTTCTTTTCCATCTCCTTGCAGTCACTGCAGGATCACTGCCACTCAACCTCCTGGCCCTGAAGGAGGTGCCTGTCCCTCCACTCGGGTGGACAATTCGTCTACCAGGTGAAGTAAAGGCAGAGATTCCTTGCATGGAGTTTGCACAGTGCAGGAAGCAATCAAAGAGCAGCCTTGCTGAAGCCCTGCTGCTTCCTTGGTGGAAGATGGGGGAGTTGAAGGTACTGGAGGCCATGGAGCCCCGAGATGGGGGAGCTCGGTGGATCCTGGGCAGGAGGATATGCAGCAAGAAGCCTGGGTGCAGCCAGGGCTCCGGATAAAGCCGTCTGGGAATGTGCTACATTTCATTTCTAAAGTACCCTTGGAGGTCTCTATTGTCTTTAAGTCGGGGGCAGGGGCATCCTGTTCTCTTCCAGGTTGGCAGTAGAGAAGAGCTCAGGCGTCCTAGGTCCAGTGCGTGTTACGCCCTTGGGAGAACTGGCTGCCCCAGTACTCCAGCTGGCAGTGACCCTACAAGTAATGAGCTACATGGTGCCCTCACTCTGGAGCGCCTTGGTTCTGCCTCAGCTCCAGAAAACGAAGGCATCATCACCTGGGACTTGCTGGACCCTGAGAGCCTGCCAAGTGCTCCTTTCCTAGGAGAGCTGGGTGGCAGGAGAGACTAGGTGAGAGTAATTTTGGAGATGGTTCTTCCCTGAAGGCTCAAAATGTCCTCATCAGACCCAGTGACTGGTGCCTGGCTCACACCGGAGGCCCATCCAGGCCTCCATGTAGGGAAGTGGTCTGGGAAGGAAGTGGGACACACTGAACAGAGCAGAACACGCAGGCAGATGCTCTGAGTCACCCATCACGGTCCCTGCCCACAGCTCTGCATCGCTGCAGGGACACATCTCACACGAATCCTTGCTGAGCAGAGGAAGGCAGAGTGACGGAGTCCTGTCCTGTCGTCGGCTCTGAGTTTCACCTGGGGCATTTGGAGCCAAGAGTGTTGGCCCCAAGTTAGGGAGAATTCTAGAGGGATCTCATTCCTTCTTCCCCCATCTTCAAAGCACAGACACTCCCTACCCAGGAAAGGTAAAGTGTCACACTTAGGCTCTCTACTCTCCTGGGAAAGACAAGTTCCAGAAGCCGCCTTGGACAAGTCCCTGCATCCAGGATGCCAGAGCAGGAACCAGACCATCAAATCCAACTATTACATATGCACCAGCCTCAAGACTATACCCTTGTGGGGTTAGTAACTTATTTGGTGCAGAGCCTCAAAAACAGGTACAGGGTGAGCTTAGGGGGAAGAGAGGTGAAGACTGGAGTGTCCAATTCCTGGGGAGTTCTGGAGCTGTGGACTGCAGGCAACTCGGCTCAGGTCACCAACACATCAGCTAGAACCTCCCCTGTGCTCACTAAGTCAGCCTGGAGGCAAGGGGCAGAGCCCATAGCCTGCACCACACCAGCAGTGGCTTCTGCTGGCAGCTTCCTACCTGCTTGCTCTGTCTTGGGGGTCCCTAGAGAAGCGAGGGTGAGCTCCTCATTGATAGCCCCCCATTCAGCAGAGCCTGACTTCATGGTCTAAGTATCACCGCTCAGTGCCACATTGGCAAACATCTCCACTTGCTCATAACCGCACCCCTCCAACTGCACATTTCACACCATCTTAGAGTGACTGCTCTCAAGGAGAATTAATCAGACAGGACATAAAAATACCTTCTTGCACGTGAGTTTCCCACCTCTACTCTGGAGTCAGAGTAGAGAGCCCTTTGCATCATTTTTAGAAACAGGAGAAATGCACGCGTTGCCCAGCTCAGAGGTGGCAGAGAATCTCTGCATAACAAGAAAACCCAGCCCAGCTGGCTCCTCTCTCTCCTCCATGTGACTGCTCATCTGTGGTGACACATGCACAGAGCTCAGGCCAGGGACAGGCCCCCAGTGTGTACTCTGTTCACTTCCTTATTGTTCTTGCCCACTTTTTGTCTGTGGGCAGCACCGGTGGGGTCCTGGCTCTTCCCCTGGTTTTCCTGGGAGGGAAGGGAGAGGCTGTGACTTCAGCCTAGTGGGTTCCCTCCAGGAAGGAGGCCCTTTGGGAGGAGAGGGCTTTCTCTCTGGACAGCCACCACCTCAGAACCCACTTCCATGCTCATCAGCTTTGGTTAGGAGTGGAGTCCAAGCGCTCAGCCCTGAGACCTCTCCTCTGCCAGCCCTGTCATGGGCCCTGTCTCTAGCATGTGGGCCGGACCCGCTCCTCAAAAGCAGATGCAGCTCTTTCCCCATACCTTGACCCCGCCTGCTGCTACTTCCTTCTCCACAGCCCCAGACCCAAGGGCTGCTGTGTTCACCTTCCAGGCAGCCTCTTGTCTTTCACCCTAGACCGGAGGAGAAACAGATTTAGGCATTGCTAAACCAGCCTTCAGGATGCCTAGCAGAGGTCCTCCTAGCAAGGGCCCTCAACAGGGCCCAGCTGTCAAATCACATCAGGGTTTTACGTGGCTTTGGGAAGCTCCAACCAGACAAGGGTAGAAAGAAGCAGAGGCAGGTGAGGTGGCTGGAGCCACTTCCAGAGGGCAGCGGTGGAGTACAAGAAGGCAGGGAGGCAAGAGGGTAAGTATTGCTTGTACAAGCTGGTGACGCTGGCAGTCTAGAGCAGAGCTGTCCACAGAGCCAGGAGGCCAGAGCCCAGGCCATCTAAGCTCCCAGACAACAGGCCTGGTCTGGAAATGAGCAAAACAATAGAGCCCCACATGACAGATGTCATGCAGCTGATCCCCAGAGGTCAGACAGGAGTCTCCACTTCCCTCCTCATCTAGCACAGCCCCGGTCCTCAGCACTCCTCAGCCCAGACTCTGCCAGTACAAACCTGGAAGGGGACAGGGCCACCTTCAGAGCCCAGGGAGGACATGAGTGCCTCTAGGGTCTGGCTGCCTGAGGCAGCCAGATGTCAAGAGCTCTGGTCTCCACCTCCAGTGGCCAGTGGGAGAGCGCCTTTGGCAGGTGGGAGGCTCAGATGCCTGGAGGGAGGAACAGGTCGAAGAACAATGCTAAAGGAGGCACTGTCACGTCCTTCTAAGCTATCAGGCCAGCAGCCCTGGGGGTTAAGACCTCCTGTGTGTTTTCCTTGTAGGGAGGTGCTGGCTGTAGGCCCAGAGAGAAAGTAATCTCAAGCCTCAGCTCTCCCGGCATCTGCTGCTCCCGGGCCCTGGCCAGGGCACTAGAGGTGCATGCTACATGCTGCAGATGTTTCCAGTGAGAGGAGCAGTCACAGCATTCAGGTGGGGAAGAAGGGTGCTGGGGTTCCCAGAGGGGCCTCGAAGTGGCCAGCTGCAGTGGACGCTACATTCCTCAAAAAGAGCAGCAGTGCTGGGAGAGGCAAAGGGTGGAACAAAGGACTACACAGAAGACTAAGCAGACTGCCAAGAGGAGGCGGGGGGCGGGCTGGGGGCTCTGCTCTGGGCACAGGACCAGGCAGGGAGAACCCACGGCCACACCCCACTTCCACCCCCGGGCTCGGGGGGTCGTGTCTACACAACACGCCTTTGGGTTTCTTTTCAATGAGACACAGACATAGATTGCAACCATGTAGTCACCAAGACTGACTATACCCAGACAAATGGACGGACATAACATGGGCACACAGAGACACACACAGACACGCACGCACGCGCGCGTGCACACACACACACACACACACACACACACACTACAGTCTCCACTGCCAACCGGGACGGGCCCAGTAGCCAACAGGCATGCAGCGGGGCAAGGGGTTCAGAGAGACATTTAGACTATGTACAGGGAAGAGGGGGGCGCCTGCAGGCACCCCTTCCTACACCGCATCCCTCCTCTTCCTGAGGTCCTTAGGAGCAAGAGGGGCTGGTGGCACTCTCCAGGGAGGACTGGGACAGGCGCCTGGTGAGGGATCCGAGGGTAGAGTCTGCCACTGAGGACGTGGGGAAGAGTTTGTACCAGCCGGCAACGGCGGCGCTCAGGTCCAGCTCGTCCAGCATGATCTGGGCCATGCCCATGAAGCACTTGTGGTCCATGCGGCCGTAGTCTCCCCAGACGATCACCTGCGGAGGCGGAGGGGAGCTGAGCCACCTCGGGCTCAGGGCTGGTGTGGTTCAAGGACCCCCAAGTTTCACAGGGCACGGAGGGGGCAGAGGGAGCCAAACCCAGTCTGAGTTCCGGCAACGACTGGGCACTGAGGTGTGCCCGCTCAATCCTGTTCTCCCAACTGTGACAGTCACCTAGGTAGGGTCCTCAGTGCTATTCTTTCCACATACAGAAAAGTCCAGCTCAAGCGGGTGAACAAGCCCAAAAGCGCGTGGTAATTAACTTGTGACACTGGCGTTAGAACCTAAGTCTGAGTTCCAGAGGCTCCCAGCCCCCCACAGCCTTCCCCTGGAAGGGCAGGTCACAGCTCTATGCTGGCCCACTGTGGGGTTGGGCAAGGCGCCAGCCGCCTGGACTTTGCTGCTCCCATCCATCAAACTGGGAACTCCGTAATTTTTAAACTCGTTCCTACCAGTGAAACCTTTTTGGAAACAAATCCATATATACATATGAAGAGACACCCTAGGTCACCCCTGTTCCCACAGAACCCTGGGGCTCCACGGGTCTTGCAGTTTGCAACCCAAGGGCCCCTGCCCTGGCACCACCTCAGCCTGGGGGGACAGCTCGAGATGGGAATTCACGCAGCAGGGACGGCCCTGTGACCCCCAGGCCAACCCCAGCAGCACTGCTCCTGCTGAGCAGCTGGCCGTGTGCCAGGCACCAAGAGACCCTCTGCACACACCCGGCATGTCCTCTTCCTCACTGGAAGTGACTGAGCTGGAACTCAAACCCAGGACTGAACCCAGAGACCAGTCACCACGCCCTGTCTGCTTTCAACCTTCACAGGCCTTTATTTAGTCCTTCTTCTAAGCAGCAAGTGGCCTCCCTCCAGCACAGTTGTGAAGGGCTTTCCTCGCCACTCTGAGGACAGGGCGAGTCCCCTGGCCTGGGCTCAACTCAGCAAGTGGCTAGCGGAAACCTCCACCAAGTCATTTCACTCTTCTGAGACCCAAACTTTCATTTGTCAAAAGGGGAGGATTTATCCCTCTGTCACAGGAGAAACAAGATCAGGAGTGGGAAGCACCTAACCTGGAGCCTGAGGGAGCCAAAGCACAAGACAGCACCAAGTGGGAGGAGGAGGCCAAGCAAGCCCTGCTTCTACCTGCCAGGTATGCAACCTGGGGTCACACCCCCCACCCCCATCTGGCCTTGCATCAACCCGGGGCAGTAACAGCTTACTGGGTTATGAAAATAGGTAAGGCATATTAATGGGCCTGGTATGGGATAAATCATAATCACAAAAAATATGTAAATATGTAAATTAAAACTTGATGTCTTTGACAGTCTGCCCTGCCCCTGGCCCAGAACACTCACCTGTAGCACCTTGCCCTGGGGCCCCTCGTCAAAGAGCAGAGCCTGCTGGTACAGGGGGTCACAGGTCTTCTTGGCTACCTTTGTCTTCTTCTTGGCCAAGCAGGCTCCATTCTCAAGCAGGTAAACCTTGATATAGGTGGCTGGGAGGGGACAGAAAGCAGAATGGAAAGATGTTCAGGAGAGACTGCTCTGGTCTGCCTCACCTCCTAACCTCCAGGTGGTTCTAGAGGTTAGCAGGGTGGCCTGGATGAGCTGGACAGATGGAAGGAACTGATTCAAACCTTGACCCTCGCACTCTCTGCCCTCAGCCCTGTTCATGGGCCTTCCAGGTCACAGTGACTCTAAGGTTGAGAATACTGATTTAGGCCAATGGGAACGAGAGCCCTACAGACCCACGCTCAGCTGTATGCCCTTTCCTGACAGAACCCCATTTCCAAAATCCCTCCCCCAGCTGCTCTGCCTCACCTGGAAGGGATTTAGAGCCTGGCTTGGAGGTCAGGCCCCGAGCTTCGATCACTTCCACCTGCAGCTGGCCGCTCCGGTCCATGATGGCAATGTGCACGTCCCCTGGAGGGACAAGAGGGAGAGTCCAGGCAGAGGCAGACCACAGGACAGGCTGTCCAGTGGCCGCACAACGCACTCTGCAGAGGACGCCCAGGAAGGGCACAAGGGGGAGAAGACTGCCTGCACTGGAACTTTGGAACCACTTCAAAACAGCTGAGAAATGCTTTGGCGGGTCTCTTGGAGTGGGGTGAGGGAGGACCCCCCAAGAGATAGGCTTGAGAAACAGCACATGGCTGCCAGCCTGTTGTCTAAGTCAGCTCAAGTAGGGGGCTTGTTTTACTGAGCAGAACAGGCAAGTTAGGGGATAGAGCTTCCCATGTGTGGGCTCAGTGGTTCTTCACCTTCCCCTGTTCAGCAGCCTGCAGCCACTCCCTAAACATATGTCAAACAAGTATTTAAAGAACAGCAGTTTGAAGAGATGCAGATAGGAGTCTGCAGAGAACACGAGGCACTAACTCCCAGGCAATGAGGGCCTGCTTGTACCCTCGCCAAAGGATGGAGGGCGGGCTGGCAGAATTTCTGGGAGTAGAATTAAGAAGCCCTCACTGTGTCCCCATGAAATAGATTATCCCACTGGGCAAGGTGATCATGTCACTTATCCGATTTCTAGAATGCTTAGCTTTTTTCAAGCTGGGTTAGCAGAATTTGAAATGATGCATTCGTCACTTGGACCATCCTTCAGAGCAGTACACAATCAGAAGCCTGATGTAGAAAAATTAAAATGGGCCAGACTTTGGGTTCAAGCTACCCAATTCATATTCTCTGCCATTGTGCAGTTGTTTGTATTTGCACACTTGGAAAGATGGGATTTATTTCTTTCAGGAGTCATTCTGGAATTCAGCCTCCTCCCACCAGCTATTCCTGTCCTCCCCATGAGGGAGGGCGTGGGGGAAGAAGGCCTCTCAACATCCCTAACGGGATGAGCCAATGCAAAGCCCTTGGAGTTTGGACAGCAGGGGGCACTACATACAAAAGTTCTAGGCTGTGGTGGCGCATTAGCCTTGAGGAGTGGCTGGGCTCAGCCTAGGGCTGGAAAGGGACTCACCAGGCTTTCAAAAGCCTGAAAATAAAGTCTTGGAATTAGCCAAATCTAACCCAAGAGCCAGGTGAGAGCTGAGGCTCACCCTCTGAGGGCCCCAGCAGACCCCTCTTCCAGACGGAGGCTCCTGCGTGAGGACTGCTGAGGAAGTCAGGACAGAGGTGGGGAGAGTTCCTGCCTGGAATCCGCTGCGGCCTGCAGCAGGACACTCAGTGCCCAGCAGCTGAGCAGCCAGGAGGACAGAGGCTGGGTGCAGTTGTCTGGGTCAGACACTGCTTAGGTCAGAATGATGGGGAAAGGGGTTGGAGGTGAGGCAACATCCCTAGGGAAGCTGGGTCTGGGGGTTGGGGGGAAAGGTGCTTGCAGCCAATACAGTCAGTATTTAAGGGAGAGAGGGCCGGGGTGGGAGGGCGCCAGAGCTGCAGATAAGAGGACTAGAGAAGTACTCTTAATCTGCAGGGAACGGGGGTGAGAAAATGACGGAAAAGCGTCCAGTCCCCAGACACTGTTAGAAATACCCAGTGAAGTAAGTCAGTTTCTAAGCATGGACCGGGAACACACATTGTTGCGGGACTGTGGAACCAGGGCGGGCGTCATTCCCATTTCACCCACTGAGGCTCGCCAAAGGGAAGCGACTTGCCCAAGGTCACAGAGAGTTGGGGACAGCACAGACTCCGTGGAAGTCAATGCCGTGATGATTTCCGTTCACCATTTTAAGCTGGGCAGCTGGCACTGCGGGGCGCACAGTAGGTGGGTGAGTGGGTGGTGATGGGAGGGAGGGGGCTCTATGAAAGCTGCTGCAGGGCAGTTGGCAGAGAAGAGCTGGCCCCCTCTCTGAGGGAGGAGGGCCTGAAGAGCGCTGTGCTAACTCCTGGTCAGGACAGAAGTCCAAGGAAGGCCCCTTCCTGCTTCCAGAACTGCAGCATTTGCCCTTCCTGCTGCTTGCTGTCCCACCCACTTGCACTCAAGACCACTTACCCATGGGTGGCGTGGCCAGTGTCTGTCGGCCCACAATCTGGGCTGGTCCCAGCCCATCCAGGAAATCACTGAACTGGCTTTCAGCCCCCAGCCGGGTGGTGGGGAAGATGAACCTGGAGGAGGAGGCAGAGTGGCAAGTGAGGGCGTCTGGGTGGTGTGGGAATCCATGGTTCTGCCCTGGGACAATGGACATTCCTCCGTGCCTCAGTTTCCCCTCTGTGTAGTATAGATGCACTGCTTTGGCTGGAGACTGACAACTGTTTATCTCTGTACATTAAAGAAAATTCTGTCACCCAAGAGACAAACAAAGTTGAAGATTTACTCCTCAAACACTAGGGATTTCCTAGATGACCCTTCAAGGGCAGGGTTAGCTGGATTCCTGTGTCTTCAGAGGGGATGCTAATGCCAACAGTTAGAGAGATAGGCTGGAGAGTCTAATACCTGGAGCGAATTCCAGAAACTAAGGTTGAGTTCACCCTAAATTTGAAATCCAAATCCACAATATGAGGTGGTGCCCAGGAAACAGCAACGGAGACCAAAATAGGACACACAGAGGATTGGGATTAATGGCAAGGGGTGGTGGGAGGCCTGTGGCTATGGGGCCCTGGGAATAGTAACAGGAAAAACTGACAGCGCTGACAGTTGGCCAGGCCCCACAGGGCACTCAGCTGACCATTTCACCCTGGCAGCCACTCTGTGGCTGCGGCCATTGTCCAGTTTTACAGATGAAAATGCAGAGGCCGCACTGCTGAGAGACCTGCCTCTCCTGCAACACAGAGATGATGCCTACCTCAGGGGTCAGGGTGAAGATCAGAGTAAACAGTGCAGAGAGATTCCAGACAACAGAAAGGTACGTGGCAGTTGGCACTGCTATTGCAGTTACCAAGCCGGGAGACCCCCACTGGCCTAGATGTTTGGGTGGGATCAGGGCTATGATGGGCCGGTCAGTTCTGAGATTCCCTAGAATAGCCCAGGCTCCTGAGTAGAGGGTCAAAGGCTTTCCAAGAACAAGGCCCCTGTTGGACAGTTTGGCCTTAGTGACAGGCCAGGAGGGAAGAACAGCTACATGAGCTTGTTGGGAGAAGCCTGTGTGTCTCCCCCAAAAAAGTCAGTCTCTACTCCCCAAAAAGGGACTTCAGGACCCAGCCATTGTAACTGGCAACAGGCAGCAATAGCTTAGAAGCTTAGAAGACTACAGTCTGAAAGATTAAGTAAGAAATGAAGACTCTTGGAGGTCACCACCTGTGGGAGCTTGGTGCAGCGTGTGGAGGCTGCGAACAAAGGTTGTATTGTCAAGTGGCCTTAATTCAAATGCGGACTTCTCCACCATCTCCTGGTGTGGCCTCGCCTTCCCCCTTGCCTCAGTTTCTGCACTGGTAAAGTGGAGATGACAGCAGGACCAACAGCCCTTGGAACTGCTGAGTGTTACAGAAGATCGTGTTTTTGGCCTGATGGTGGCTGGCGGACCCCAGGGTGAGAAGCGCTGATTGGAAGTACCCAGGGAGGCCCTGCATAGAGTCAGAGCAGTAGAGGTTACATGCTGCTCACACTCTGGGGGCAGGCACAGTGATGAGGCCATGGCCATGGGACCTTACACAACGGAGCCACCGGGCCTTGTGGAAGCAAATCAGAAAATCCACAGATTCATAGATTGAAAAGAGCTCCATTATCTAACCAGGTGACATTCAAATTTTTGGTTGCATTCCACATTTAATGAAACCAATACCCTCACCATTGACTATGCACATCTATCTATAAACAAAAAGGCGACAAGTGATTCCTCCTCATGAGGTAGGCTACTTTTCATTTTTCTATACTGGTTTTGGCCCACCAAACGGATTTTACTTCTTGGCTCCAAGTGACCGCGCACCATTTGAAATACACTAAACTAGTTCGACCATCCCCCTCCTGGCTCCAAGCTCCCAGACAGGCGGCTTGCTTGCATGAACCCCGCTTGTCTGCGCCCTCACGAGGCTCCAAACAAGAAAGGACTGAGGACCACACTCCTGTCAGTCTCGCCCCTGCGGAGCAGGCCATCGTGTAGACACCGGGGTGGGAGACAGCCTGAGGAAGGGACGGACTGCCCTTGGGCCTAAGGACAGAGCCAGAGGAAGCTCTGGACGGCCTGAGTAGGGCAGGGGGAGGAGAAGCGCAAAGGAACCCAGCCCGGGCTGGAAAACAAAACGGAAGCCCCCCACCCGCCCCCGCCTCGCCTGGGGGCTGCACGCACGCGCCCTCCGAGCTGTTGCTGTTGGTGCTCCCGTCGGTGGACTCCCGGCTGCCCTGGCGCGTGACGCGGCTCCGCATCTCCACAGCGATGCCGGTCTCGGTGCTCCGCCGGATGTTGCTGCGCAGCTTCTTGCTGGCCCCTTCTGCGACCGGCGCCCCCGGAAAGCCCAGAGAAGGAACGCAGTCAGATCAGGCATGAGGCTGCTCTGAGAGCGCGGCCAGATTCACCCTGACGGGGCTCTGACTGGAGGCAGGGCTGAGGTGAGGAGAGCGGATCGGCGAGACCCCTGGTCCTGCTGGCGCCTGAACTTAACGGAAGAAGGCTCGAAAGATGGCTGAAAGCAGAGTCAGGACCAAGGAGACCCCAGCGGGGGCCAGTCGCCTGGCGCAGCCTTGCAGCCGTCCAGCTTCCCACTCCGTTAAAGCCCTTACTCCACAGTTACTGTTCCCCCTCTCCTAAAGTGAACCTTCTCCGGCACCCCCACTCGCTTTCCCTCTTCCAGGTGCCCTCACAAACCTTATCACACATAGGCCCCTCCACCTGCCAGCCTGAGCCCTCCACAGGGCCTGTAAGAAATCTCATGAAGCCTGGCCACACTCAAAATAATGAGCATCCTCAAGGTGGGTCTGAGCGTGGGGAGGGCGGTGGAGGGGAGGGAGGCCTCTGGGAGCAAGGTGACCTGAATTAACTCTGATTGACTTTGGCTTGGACAGAGGTCTGCAGGAGCTCCCCAGAAACTGAGCAGGGCTCACCCCATGTCTGTACCTCCTGTGGGCTCTCTACCCGCCTCCTCCCCAAGCCGAACACGGGGCGCTTTCCCTCTCCAGGCAGTGCACCATCCTGCTTGGGTTTCCATGGCAACCTCCTCAGCATTGCAGTGTGGTCCCTCCAGACACCCTCTCCTCCTGGGATGGGAGAGGAGAACTGAACACAGGTTGAGCGTTTAGAGGGACTTCCCTGCTGAAGCTGGGCTGCCATGGAGCAGGTGGAGTTCCATCCAAATGGGACTGTACCAAAGGAGTCATTTCTGTCACGGGTTAGGGGACCAGCAAATTAAGAATGGAGTTACCCATGGGATAGGAAGAGGCTGGGTGGGGCAGGAACACAGCCCCCTAAAGGGGGCGCTGGTTATCACTCTGGCAATTCCTACCTGTACTTATGGAGGGTCAGGAAGGGGATGTTCAAGACTCCAGCCTGGGAAAAGGGAATTTTATTATCCTGTTTCACTCTGCTCATTTTTCAGAAGTCCCACTGGAGGAGAAAAGGCTGAGAGGGCTGGCTAGCCTCCCTGCAGTGCATGAGGGGGTGGTAGGTGAGGAAGAATTGTCTTCTCTGAAACCATCCCAGCTTCTGGGATATTGGAATAGCTAGCTATCTAGGAATCAATGAAATCATCAATACCTCTCTGCCTGACTCTCCACACAGTCACATTGGCTGATACATATTTCTTTCACATAGACAGGCACAAGCAGACACACTCAAGTGCTGGCAATCACATATGGTCCTACCAGGTCTCAGTTATACATGCACATGGCATCCTCTGTCTGTCATGTAGGTGAGACCCTCACCCCTAATACTTGGAGTGGAACCCATCCATTCAATCAAAAATGTAGACACAAACCTACAAATGTACGTGACCCACCACACAGAGCGTGCTGGGCAGTATGGGAGGAGGGGAGGTTGTCTTGTCCTGGCTCCTGACTGTCGCATCCTCTAACCCAGTGAGAAGACAGACGGGTCTATGGGGGTTGTACTTTACCCTCCCTACCCTGAAATATCCCCACAACACAAACCCTGAGGTGGGATTGATCACATGATCCCAACCTTTCCAGACTGTGGGAAAACTTGACCCACTTGGCACAAAATTCACCTTTGATCAGGACCTGCCCAGGCCACTGAGAGCCCATGGATTGGGGAGCCACTGAATCCTGGAGACACCGCAGCTAGCCCCTACTCCTGACATTTCACAAATAGCAAGCTTAAAGTCCAGGCCCCTACAGAGTTGGGACTAGACCCCAGGCCCCTAGACCCTGACATGCTATTGCTTACTCCCCTCCGTCAACTCTACATTGGCTTGAAATGTGATTCAGTGGCGTTGAATCCCATTTCTCTAGTTGGGAGGAAAGTTCTTGCAATCTCAGAGAAAAGTCTACTGGCTTAATACCTGTCCAGTCTCTGAACTCTGCTGATCTAGGGAGTGACTTTATGTAACCTCTCTCTAGAAACTGGGCCAATTTGCTTGCAGTAATTTTGTGGTCCCTGGAGACCGAAAGACTCCGGGAACCATTTCATCTGTCCCATCACACAAGGGAGAGGCAGTCACAGCCTCCAACTGCATTCCCTAGGGCATCTCCTGGATTGGTCCTGTGCCCTCCATAACCCTGACCTACAGCCAGAGCCCAGGAGGGAAGAGCTGCTGTCCCTGGTGCTGAAAAAGAGGAGCTTCATTTGGGCAGGATAGTGTGTAAACCCAGCTAAGGTCAGGCCAGAACCCACTTGGGTCCTGGGAGCCCAAAACTCTCACCCCACCTTCTTCACAGCACCCAAAGCTTAGAGAATGCTATATTTAGAAGGAAGCTAGTTCTATTTTACAGAAGAGAAAACTGAGGCCCAAGGAGAAAGTCACGTTCCCAAAGTCCCATGGAGCGTTATAGAGCCAGGCCTAGTCCTCTAAAGTTTCAGGGTGGGATTTGGAAGGCCATGCTAGGGCAATGTAAGGAGTAATGTAGATGGGGTGAGACAGGAAACAGGATAAAGAGAGGAGGTTGGTGCAATGTCCAAACTATATCTCCTGGGCTAAGGCAGAGGTTTTGAACCGGAAGGACTGAGGCCAATGCAGGGCACAGATAAACTAGTATCGAGGAGGAACCTACCCATCCTGGGCAGTGGGGGCACCCTGCTAGGATCTTTCCCCAGAACAGAATTTCCAGGCCCACTGCCCACTGTGAGTCAGCCCCACACATCCCTCTGAGGCCTGACTCTCCCACCCAGGATGGGGCTCCTCCAGGTCCAGGAGAAAAAGTCAGAAGGAATTCGAGATAAAAAAAGTATGGCAAGCTATGTAAGTCAGAAGTCACTTCTGTTTGTAGCCCCGTGTAATGGTGAGTAGTAGCCCCGACAGTTTACCGAGGGTTTATTTTGTGGCAGGCAGAAAGCTGGGTGATTTAGCCCCTGAGATAACTCTGCATGTTCATTGCTACAGACTAGGAAGCAGGCTCAGAGAAGTGAAGAAGCTTGCCCTGAGTCACCAGTTGGGAATGAAAGGATGTGGTCACTGAAGAACAACTTGAAGTTGTTTAAGTACCTGGACTAGAAGGTCTCAAGAGGCCCTTCCTGATCTGACATTTGGTGATTCACTGTTTCACAGAGATCTTTTATTAGAAGGATATTTAGGCAATTCTTCTGGCTCCAGGCCCTCGGCCACACCCTTCCATACCACAGAAACAAGGGACCCAGAACTCACTCATCTCTCCTCACTCAACAAGAAAGGACGGTCTTCCTGGTGTCTGTGGCAGTCTCTGTCTGCTGGCTGTGGAGTCAGGTAGGTGACAGTCCCGGCAGATCAATGGGCTGTCTCCCAGTGACTCAGTCTCTCCTGTGCTCTTGGAAAACTGTCCTTCCACATCACTTGGGCTGGAGAAGCCTCGGGGTCTGATTCTGAATCAACCTGATACCTTGGTCAGACTCCCAAGGCCCAGCTCCTCCTCACCCTAATCTTAATCCCTGACCCAATAGCAGCCGAGTCCCATGATCCCCAATGCCTGGGGATCCTGCCCGACTCCCTAGTGCCAGGTCTATACTGCCCATTCAGAGGCCATACGCACCCCATGACACCGATAACCTCAAGCCCCGTCCCCACCTAACATTTCCCTGAGCCAGATACCACGTCACAGCTTGATTGCTGGAAAAGACCATCCTACATGCTCCTGTGGAGGGCTTTGTAAAAATCTATTTTAAGGCCTGGAAAAGTCCCCCACCCCCAGCCCCAACTGGAAGTCTTGATGAGCATTCTCCCCAGATCCTCCGGTGCCCCCGCCCCCTCACCACCCCCATCCAGCTGCCTATTTGAAGGTTTCTTGGGGGAAGTTGTTACTCTGAGCAAAATAAGCAGGAAGAGATTTTAAAACAAAACCAGCTGGTGTCTGGGCTGATGCCACAACGTGAGGAGGGCTGGCGCCTTTGTGAACTGGGGTCCGGGTGTGACTGTGTGACGAGGTGGGTCTCTGCCAGTCTGATGGTGACGCCATATAACTAGGTGTCTAGAAGTAGCATCCACTGATCAAGATACAGCTGCTTAAAGTGCATGCAAAAGTGTGGCTCTGTAGGGTACAGGAAGACATGTGTGCCGCGGGCTTCAGTGAGCGCAGGGAGTGTGTATACGCATGCATGTGTGTGTGTGCACATGCATGTGCGTGTGTGCACGCGCACACACACACACTGCCCTGGGTCTATGCATCTGTACTCAGAGGACTGTGTCTATGTCAGGTGCTTTGTTTGTGGCCACGCGCGGCGGGAATGGCTGCCCTGTTCTTTCCTGGCAGTGAGGAGCTTTCCTGAGGGATGGAACATGTGGTGTATGTGAGCACACAAGGCATGTGTCTTTGTAATGTGTGTGTGTGTGACTGCAGGTACATTTGTGTGGCTGTTCTTAGGAAACCCAGAGACGACAGCGAGACTGACCCGTGCAGGTGTATCTGTAAAGTGGTGGTGTCACCTAGCACTGTACTAGGAACACAGTGGCTGTTAATAAATAATTGCTGATTATTGTGTAAGTCTGTGCATGGAGGTGGCAGCATGTAAAGGTGAGGAGCATGAGCTCCGAAGCTGCTGCCAGGATCTGAATCAGGCTCCAGCACCTGCTAGCAGCGCAGCTGGGGCCTCCTCCTCCCTGCCCTGTGCTTCCTGAAGGGCCCCAGGAGCTCTGTGCAGACTCAGTGAGTCAGGACTTGCACTGGGCCCAAACCACACCTGGCGTGTGGTAAGTGCTGCCTCAGCACTTGTGGGGTGCCATTCAGAGAGTGCCGGGCTCCCCGTTACTTCCAGGTGCCGCCCCCCACAGTCGCCTCACCAGGCTGCGGAAGTGGGAGCGAGCTCTTGCTCCACTGCGTCAGGCCCACGATGGCCACCATCTTGGCCCCAAGGCTGCTGCGGCGCTTCTTGGCTGTGGTGGTCCCGGGCCCACCCCCAGACTGCTGGGATCCGCAGATCTCCCCGCTGATGCTGGAGCTCCTCACCACGCTCCTGGAGGCCGCAGCCGAGGCTGGACCCGGCTCCCCGTTAAACATGGTCTGTGGGGTGGCGGGGTTTCAGGCAACTCTGTGAGGGAGGGGAAGAGACAGAGGGAGCCCACATCAGAGGGAGCCCTGGGACACTCTCCAGAGACCCATCACTTCCTAGCTGTGTGACCTTGGGCAAGTCACTCAGCCTCTCTGAGGTGGTGAGGACTAAGTGAACAAATAAGCCAAAAAGATATGCAGACTGGTTCCATCAATGAGGCTGTTCTTGTCCACACACAGCTGCCCAGGCAAGTGGCTGGTCTGGTGGTGAAGACAAAGCTGTGAGTCATAAAGGCCACTCTTGAATTCCAAGGGGCTCTCCATACCAGCTGCGTGACCTTGACTGAACAGCTTGAAATTTCAGTGACTGTCTCAGCAAAACGAAAAATAAAAGCACTTAACTCACAGTATTGTAAGGATGAAGTTAGAAGGTGTGTGTAAGGTGCCCAGAGCAGCATCAGGCAGAGAGTAAATATTCAGTAAGTGTGATTGCTAATTCACAGCCCAGAAGAAGAACAGGCAGAACAAAACTGTCTCCAGCCCACTCGGCTGTGCAAGGAGTCGTGCTTGAAAGGGCAAGTACAGGAAAACCTAGAGAAGCCAGCAAAAATCTCCCTTAATCACACCACTGAGAGGCAGCCTCTATAGACATTTTAAACTATTTCTTCCCAGTCTCTTTGCTGTGCACTTAAAAAAGTAATTGAAGTCATACTGCAAATACAATTTCACATCCTACTATTTTCTCATTTAATTTATTACGAGCATTTCCCAATGTAATCAACACTTTGTATAAATGTTTTAATGCCACCCTAATAGTCCATCACATGCAGGTAGCAGAATTGACTTAAATAATTCAATACTGTTACCTCTTCGGTCAGGTCTGACTTTCTTCTCTCTGCCTCTGTCACTGCTTCTCTGTCTCCTGTCCTTTAAACAACACTGCAATAAACATCCTTCTGCACTGATTTTATCTGCTTATTTCTTCATGATGGATTCCCAGAAATGGGGGGGCAAGCCAGGGGTGTGGACACTTCTGGTGGCATCCCCAACACCCATTCTCCCTTCCTGGCAGAGCAGTGGTCTCATCCAGGTGCCACCCCATCCCTTGTTTGAGGGGCGGATCTTGAGTGGGTTACGCTAGTCGTGTGGGGCATTCCCCTTGGCAACTTGCTGCTGGTGCAAGGGAGGGCACGTGACTGAGGTGGCCTGATTCTGCTTAGGGGGAAGGTTTGAACCCCATGCTTACACAGTAGTCGCTGTTCTCTCTCCTCCTCCCCCCTTTCCATCTCTCTCTCTCTCTCCTTTTCTTTCTCTCTCCCCCTCCCTGCTTTCCCTCCCCACCCTCCCCAAGTGAGGGCCGAGCCCTCAGAGCAAGCCAGTGTTGCTGAGGGCAGTCCAACCCAGACACAAAGAACCTCAGGCCACAGCTGGAGCCTGCCTTTCTCTGGTCTTCCAGCTATGTGAGATAATGTGTTTTCCATTCCTTAAGCCAGCCTGAACCAGGGTTTTGTTACACCCAAGAGTATCCTACCTGATACTGAGGGCATAAACATTATTTTTGATTCTTGGAATAATATTGATTGCCAAATTCCTTTTCAAAGCAGCAATCAACAAACATTTAAAATTTCAAGGTCTGTGCTAAAAACCAAGGAGATGACAGTGAGCTGGGCCAGCTTGGTCCTGCCCTCCCAAAGCCTCCACTCCAGGAGGAGAGACAGACAGTAAATAACTAATTATGCAATTAATATTTAATGAATCTTTCGATGAGTCCAGGGAAGAGGACAGAGGGTGCTGAAAGCTACTCTTGGGGAGTGAGACAGCAGGTCTTCGGCTCTGTCTCGTCAGGTGGGCCTCCTGCTGTCGGCCCCTGGACTCGCCGAAGGCTCTGTGTGGCAGGCAGCCCTTCTCCTCCTCCGGGAAGACCACGCTCCAGCCGGGGGGTGCACCCACCAGCTCTTCCCACCGTCCCGGTCCAGTGCACATGCCACCCCAGGGCACAGGCACTTTGCTGTGACCTAGGGAATCTGACTTTTCAAGAGGACACAGAAAGGAGGGAAAATGGAGGTGGTGAAATGGAAGGCCCTAGGCCAGCTCAACTCATGAGGGGAATGGTGGCGAGCAGTTCCGTGGCTGGCAGCCTCGTCTCCAGGTCAGCCTAGCAAGTTAGGGCTGGCAGTGGGGATGAGTCAAAGCTGTGTTTTGCCTTCTCTGTGGCTGTCTGGACTGTTCTTGCTCACCCTGTGACGTGTGCAGAGCCCCGGATTGTATTTCTCCATCCTTCCCCGTCAACCTCGTAGCTAATGGAAAGTCCCCCTGGACTTGGGCCTATGATCTCGTCTCTTTAGTTTCCAACTCCAGTGCCAGTTTGTGTGGTTTTGGAGGGTAGCTGCCTGGTCTTTTGGTGAATGGTGGGAGAGGTCTCATCTGATCCTCTGAATCAGCTACAGTATAAGCCTAATGTACCCTTTAAAGCATTTCTGCCGCAAGTGTAAATGTCTCTGTCTGGCAGGTGAGAAAACTGAGTCTCAGTATCAAAGGCCTTGTCCATCCCACTCAGTTAAGAAGTGCCAAGTGGCACCCTCCCTGGTGGCACAACAGGTTAAAGCACAGCACTATGAAGCTGTCCATGGGCACTGCAGCCTGAGTTCGATGCTGGCCAAGGAGCTGACCCACATGGTACCACAGATCACTCATGACCCACCCACTGCTCCCCTCAGCAGTGTATTTCACTACATCTGCCTGTTCTGCTCCCCACTCTGTCTCTGGTGAATCCTCATTGCCCCATGCCTCTGGCCTGTACCCCAGTTTTGTAGGCATAAAAATAATTTTTTTAAAAATTTGTTATAAAAAAAAAAGAAGTGGCACATGGACTCAAACCCACACCTCCTGTTTCCACAGAGACAGACACTCCGAGCCCAACCCTTTTCCCCCTCCCCCCCCCATCCGCCCCGAGCTCACCCAGAGGAGCCCACGCCCGCTGCTCTGGCTTTGCCCTGGGCCCCTGGGCTCTTTGCGAACACAGACAACGGCAAGGAGACCAGCCCACCTTCTGCACTGGTGTGAGTATCTAAGCCACAGCAGACACAACAGAGCACATCTGGAGAAGCACATGCTTCCCCGGTGCGGCCTACGGGAAGCCCTAGAACACCGTTCCCAGGGGTGAGTAGATGGGAACAGGGAAAGGGACACAATCCCTGACCCTGCCAACCGGGGGCTCATGTTCCCTCATTAATAATGAAGGCAGCCTGACAAACAGAGCCTCTGAAATCCAGGGCTGTGTGCCGGCCAGCTCCGTCTCTAACCGTGCAGGCGGCTTGTGGCACCGCTCTGCGCTCTGGGCTGCTCATCTCTGTGTGAAACGAAGGGTCGGATGAGCTGACTGGGAAAGTCCTTTGAACCGGGAGAGAAGGCTCCAAGCACATAGTGGGGCAGCAGACTCAGACTGGGGGGGGTCCCAGCTGCTTCATGGTGGCCAGTCGAGCTCAGGGACGAGACGTGGGGACAGAGCCGACCTGCCGCTAGGAGCAGGGGTGTCCAGCACCCAGTGAGCCAGCAGCCCACCAGCATGAGCACTGAGAGGACAGCCGCAGGGCCAGGAGAGAGGGCAAGGGGCAGCAGGACCAGAGCAGCACCTCACACGGGTAGTCTTAAAGTAGCGCTGCACAAGCTGCATCCTCTTCACAAGACAGTTCAGTAATTCCTGGCCTCCAAACAGGACCCTTTCCCAGCCCATTGTGGCACCCCAAGGAGGAATCGCTGCTGCGAGCTGTGATCTCACTGGCTCAGGCACCTCCCTCTGAGGTCCTCCCTGCAGATGCCCATCACCAGGGGAGGAGGGCACAGTCCCCCCCCCGCCCCCCCAGAGCTGACTGCCCACAGATACCTCCCAAGCTCCCCAAGGATAAGCCTAGGATTTTCTTGCTAGCCCTCAATGTTTGGCTTCCACTCTGGGGTTACAGCAGCCCAAGGGCTCTCCAAACCTCTTGAGTCCTGACAACGGCAGGGGCCTGGCCCCCCAGCTATCCTGGGCCCCTCGGCCCCTTGACCACATGTCTAACCAGATGGGAGCCTTTGATGAAAGGCAGTGAGGCCAAGATGAACCCAGCTGCCTTTCAACTGGGAAAAACAAGGAATCTGTCCCACGGGATGAACTGCTAGGCTGGAAGAGGTGGAAATGACCTCCCCAGCCGCCACCTGCAGCAGACGGCACTGGTCCGTCTGGCTTTCCCACTGAAGCCAGACCTAACCTCGGACTTCTCCACACACTGCCCTGGCACCAACGGAGAAGCTCCAGCTCAAGAGTTAAAACCAGGCAGCTCTCCCACCCACTCTGCAGGGGCTTCTCTTTTTCGTTCTCCTTTTCCTAATAAACCCATCCTTTTAAAATGTAAAGAAAATTCCCAAAACGAGGAGTCAACACCGACTTGTGTGCCTATTCCAGCCTGAATCTTTGATTTTGCAGAGTAGGAAGTCAAGGTCTAGAACAGGCAAGGGACACCTGGTGGCAAACCCAAGTTCCAGCCCAAATCTCCTAGCTTCCAGGTCCCACAACACCTGCCAGTTCTGCTTCCCACGTCTCAGCTGACGAAAACCAAACTCACCAATCGGATGACTCTGAGTGTGGTGTTCTGCATCCCAGGGGGCTTGCCCCTCTCAGCAGCAGGCCACTAGGGCACTAACTCACGGCTTCAGGCCCCTCTGCTGAGAGCCCAGTTTTCAAGAAAGGAGGTGAAGGCAATCAGGGTAGCTCCCAGGAGGAAGTGATGTGACGAGAGTCTGGAAGGAAAGAGGGAGGCTTAGAGGAGCTACAGAAGACAACTGTCCTCACAACTCCCAGGAGCTTGTGGGGTAATTTTTTTTTTTAAAGCTTTTTTTTTTTT